AACGATGAGTACGTGACGTGAATAAGACTAAATAAGTAATATTATATAATAAGATGAGTGTAATATATAAATTAAGTGATTATATATAAATGAATGAGTGATTATATGCAATATAAATAATAAAAGAGTGATTATATATAAATAAGATGAGTGCGTGAATAAGACTAAAATAAGTAAAATTTAGCTTGCTCATTTCTCTTGTTTGTGCTGGTATGCCAATCCCACGTGTTATCACTAGACGTAACTAGTCCTAAGGTTTCATCAGAATATGTTTTCGAAATACGCCTAAAAGACGTACACTTCCATTAACTGTCAACATTTACTTACGTGTATTCTAATATATAGCATAAATTTTGTAAGAGGGGGCGGGGCAAGGAGCCTCGTGTACTACTATGTGGTCGGGGACTCGGGGACGTCTATGTGTTTAGGGATTCGGGGACTTTTCTGCTAGAGGACTCGGGACTGCTGTGTGCTTGGGACTATGCCTTCGCTTTATATCGCAATTTTGCGTTGTCCATTAAAACATGTGACAAGAGTATATGACGCAATTAAGTTCGCGTATATCATTTTACCTGACGCATCCCTATCGTCCGCACTCGAGTTGGGATCGCATGCCAGAATAGGCGATTTTGTGTGCACCGGATTTCTCGTTCATGCTACATCATAGCATGTTGTTTTCAGCACGCGTCTCACGGTCCAGTCTCATCAGCTAATCAACGCCAAAATTCATGCCAACTAAGCTTCCTTTTCCAACAGAGCCCCATAGTTACCCCATTTCCCCGCGGCGAAGAGCGTCCGCTACGACCTGGCGTTACTATCCGAAGCTGTTTACAGCCTCTGCCGGGGCACGGCATGCTTTTAGACCTGGTCGGTGCCTGACCTGGAGAGAGTGCCCCCCCCCCCGACCTAAGCCTGAGGCTCTGCACGCGCGGTAGTAGCGGAGCGGAAGTCTCCGAACCTTGGTTTATGAAGAGCTTTGGTCACTGCAGAACTTCTGTCATTGTTGAGGTTAGGTTGGTAAGCGTCAGGTCATACTTGTTAGGTCGTATGAGTTCGGTGGCATCTCAGTGCGAACCAGCGCCCAGAGTAAGACGGGTTTTAAGAATATTGTGGGCCCGAACCTCAATACAAACGCTTTCACTTTAATAAGAAGGATGTTTACCAGAAGCGCCGCACGAGGATCTCGATCCGACACATGACTGAGTGATTATAGCAAACTTCCTTCGCATTTGTTAGAATTTGCTTGAATTTGTTAGAGTTATAACACAATAATCAGGAGACGTGCATAGTACCCGATGAGCAGAAAGTATACACGGCAAATGCCGGCAAGCAAGATTGTTCGGATGACTTCTCTTTTTTCATTTCATCTCAGGAAAAATGAGGGAGTTGCTCGCCTCCAGTAATAAGAAGCTATTAAAGACGGCTAGTTTTTGCTAGTGCTCAGGAGGAAAATTTTAAGGATCATTTCGCCGTCATGGATCAGGAGATTTGCCGTGCATCACGAACGAGACTTCAGGAGACTTATCTATCTCCGCCCAGGGATCAGAGGTCAAAAGACGGTCTCGACATTGCCGATCAGAAGTCAAAGCATTCCCAATGCCGAGGACCTAGAAACATCCCCAGCAACGGCATTCGGGCCTCAGGAGCCTAGCCCAACACTACGCGCTGGTGACCGGGACACGGGCCATCGGTGGTCAGGGGAGGCCTCCTCGGCGGCGGGCCACCCCGAGGGTCCGGCCACCAGCCGCCGTCCTAGTGCTCGCGACCGGACGGCCGCAGCGCCGGGCCGTGCCAGGCTCCGAGGAGCCCCTGGCGACCATCCGCGACAGCGGTAGGAGGCCTGCAGGTCACGGCTGCAGCGCCGGGCCGGGCCAGGATCCGAGGAGCCTCTGGCGACCAGCCGCGACAGCGGCAGGAGGCCTGCAGGTCACGGCTGCAGGGCCGGGCCGGGCCAGGATCCGAGGAGCCTCTGGCGACCAGCCGCGACAGCGGCAGTAGGCCCGCAGGTCACGGCCGCCCCCCCCCCCTCCCCCCAATGACCGCAGCCGCACAGAGGCAAGCCGAGAACCCTGCCGCGGGACTGTGTTCCCTTCCGCCCTTTCTGTACTTCTCCCCTGCGCGATCGGACTGTTCGTGACGTCACAGCGAGGGAGCTGAGACGAAAGGGGTATTGAGCTTCGGTCGTCATCGGGCGCATTCTACTGAACCGTTCTCCCAGGAGTCTGGCGTGGTATTCACCGGACACTTTTGGTCATTAGAACCGCGGTGATTAAGTTGCACGATTACTGTCGGAAGTAAAATTGACAAGTCGCTATGAATATTGCAGTTCGTATTAGTAAGGTAGTTTAGTTGTTGCAGTAAAGTAGAAAAGCAAACGTGTATTATAGGGCATGTGTGCAGTCTGAAGATACGAAATCATCGATAATGAAAGTGGCAATTTTCTTAAAATGAAACTGTCATAATAAACGGCTACTGTTTAGCGGAGAACATAATTGCAAACAAAGCTCTCCCGATTCACGGAACTAGTTTAAGTTATCCGATAAATGGAGAAAATGACCCATAATGCTTTAGCTCGTCCACATTAACCCAGAAACTTGAGGGATGTAGCGGAACGCGCCACTGGGTCGTCAAGTCAAAGTACCTCGAAACATTGCAGCGAAAAGAGCTTGACGTGTTTACCAGCTGAACGTACCCAATAGCTCAAAATCCGGCGCAAGGACCGAAAATAATCTATGCAGTTGACGCGCCCAGAAACCCAAATACGACCGAACGAAATCTGACATGACATGATAAATGTCAACCACGATCTCATGCCCGATTTATATACATTTAAATAGCCTGCGCCAAACGGATAGGTACCCGAATATTGAAGAAGTAGTTTCTACAAGATAGAAAGAAACATGTGAAATAGCTTAAAATGCCTGGAAAAAGCTTTTCGCAGACTTGGCCAGGCACCTGGAACAGGGACCTGGCTTGCAACCATCAGCTGTCATTGCTGAGTGTAGCAGCCGCCAGGGTACTCAGCACTCTGCCCTAATGCAGGAAAACGACTTGGACCAAGCGACACCAATGGCTTAAAGATTCATCTGCGAAGCATGCCCGGTGCGAGGGAACGAGAAGTAAGCGACCGTCGGCAGCTGCTTTTAATCTTGTTGAGGTCACATCGCTCGGCGCAAGCACCCAACGTGACGCACCTCGTATCTTCCAGTTTAGTAAAAGTGAACCAAGCTATCAATATTGATAGCCAGACCAGTCAGTATGAAGTCATGTATACATGATACCGTTTTGGGTATAGCGCACAGGTGGACAAGTCTCGGCCTTCTGTGAGGTCTGCTGCCATCTACTTGCTATACTCACGTGCTGCGCAAAGTCAAGCAAACAACCACGATCGTAAGTCTAGCCCAGCAAACAATCACGATCGTAAATGTAGCGACGCCGAGCAACTAATCCCGCTCAAACACGACCCAGCGCCTAAAAAAAGCCTGGCTTTATCCTGCGCGGTCGCCTTGAACCAGCCAGTCTGTTTTCTGTTCGTTCCAGTCTGTTTTCAGTGTCTAGGAACCGATAATACTCCACGCGAGAGAAGACAGTTGGAGCCACTCCCAGGCGGCTTACTTTCCCGACAGCCGAGCCCCAGGCCGTAGCCGACGAACGCGGTGAGGCCAGACGGCCGCTCTCCTCCTCAGAAACTCGGTGAAGAAAGATCGCCTCAGTGGAAACGGTGTGAACGAGCGGACCGTTTGCAAGCGAAACGGAGGAGAATGAGAGCGAGAGAAGAGAGAGAGAGAGAGAGAGAGAGAGAGAGAGAGAGAGAGAGAGAGAGAGAGAGAGAGAGAGAGAGAGAGAGAGAGAGAGAGAGAGAGAGAGAGAGAGAGAGGAGAGAGAGAGAGAGGAGAGAGAGAGAGAGAGAGAGAGAGAGAGAGAGAGAGGGGAGAGAGAGAAAAAAAATTGTGCGGTCGCTGAAGTCTGAGCTACCGTAAATTCTGAGAACATGTGCCTATTTATGCGTTGCATCCGCTTCAGATAGCATCAAAGAGGATCGGGCCCCGCTAATTCACGCCTGCGCCCATGCCGAGAATGGAGAACGGACTGATTTAGCTCGTGCTCCCACTGCCCTCGGTGGTAGGCTGGCCCGGTGGGGAGTTACGACCGTGAGTCAGTAATGTATCCTTGTCCACGCCATTTCAGAGACATTAAATCTACATAAAGAGTTTCGAAGTAGGCACCAGCACTAGGTGTTGAAATCTGACGATTTCCTCTAAAATAATAATGCTTCCTATGCTACGCAGCGCATGCCGAGAGCTTCAGGAGGACGTTAAATCGATTTTTTAAAAGTTTAATAAGCCTTGAACTTGGAAATAGTCAATGCACGAAGACTCACAACCACCTAGTCTATTCTTCGCCCCTCCACGGCAAGCCACAATGATGCCGATGTCCTGGACAGGACACACAGTGGCCAGCTGCTAGAAGACGGTGAAAGACTTATCATACTGGTACTGAGCTGTACCGAGCAGCGCCCACTCGTCACACTGGTACTGGGCTGTACCAGTGTGAACAGATATCATCACACAGGTATTGAGCTGTCCTAGGCAGCGGCCATTCATCACACTGGTATTGGGCTGTACCACACCGGTGCTGATCTGCTCAAGGAGGGGAGGGGTGACTCATCACACTGGTGCTGGCCTGCTTCAGGAGGGAAGGGGGACTCACCACGCCGGTGCTGATCTGTTTCAGGAGGGGAGGAGAACTCACCGCACCGGTGCTGATCTGCCGCAGGGGGAGGGGAACTCACCACGCCGGTGCTGATCTGCCACAGGGGGAGGGGGAACTCACCACATCGGTGCTGATCTGCTTCAGGAGGGGAGGGGACTCACCACGCCGGTGCTCATCTGCCGCAGGAGGGGAGGGGGAACTCACCACATCGGTGCTGATCTGCTTCAGGAGGGGAGGGGACTCACCACGCCGGTGCTGAACTGCTTCAGGAGGGGAGGGGGACTCACCACACCGGTGCTGAGCTGCTGCAGAAGACCGGCGCCGGCGCTGCTGGGTGCCACGCAGGAGCTGCGCCTCTGCTTGAGCGAGCCAGACAGGCCACCGACGCCGAGAGCCGACCCGACGGCCGACTTCCTCCGCCCCATGGAGCCGCCGGAGGGCGTCAGCAGACTGGTGTTGGGCACCGAGCCACTCTGCGGACGGGGCCTCGGGTCACCCACGGTCACCACGGGTCACCACAGGTGGAATTTGGTCACCTCAGGTCACCACGGGTCACCTCGGCGTCCAGCGCGATCACCGTAACAGGTCGCGACGGTCGGCCCGTTGGCTGTGGGTTCTCTAGTTTTCCTTTGTTGGTGGAGAACGTTTGCTCTAGATCCTTGATAGAGATGTTAGCTTAACAACGAAATGACGATAAGAAAACGGATCAAAACATTGACCAAAGCCGCGGGTAAAGTGTATTCTCATGTTTATTTTAAACGTATCCGTTTTATCATAGCAGTGGTGGCACATTCGCGCTTAAGAATCACTGGGCAGCTTGGCCAACCATTAGCAGTATTTCGGAGACATTTTTCGTGAACGTTCTTTTGTTTTCCTAAACCAGAATTGTCTTCCCGGGCTAAATCAAATTTCCACGCCTTTATGATAACTTCTGAAAAGGCCAATCGGCGGAGACAATGACAAGACAATATCAATAAACCAATGCGAGTCCAGCCAAAAAATGCATTAGTAGCAAACCAAAATGAATGCTGCGCTTACGCCAGCGCGACCCACTTCCATATGTACTCGTTGGCACCTTCTGCCTGAAATGCGTGGCGGTTTTAATACAAGGATCAGTCGCAGTCCCAGTAAGATCATAGCAATTCCACATTGCATACGTACCACTGTAAGGCCAGCAGTAAGCGCGCCACTCCAAAGCCGATGATTGTTCCTTTCTAAAAATAATGCTGATAGCCTGACCGCTTTTGGATAACGCCAAGTATCGCAAAACTTTCCAGGATTTCATCACCAAGTGTGATTGGAGCATTTACAGTCTGCCATTGTGCTGAGCATTTACAGTCTGCCATTGTGCTGAGACATCCGGAGAGTGGCGCTCCAGTCATTCTGGGTCTATTCATTCAAATGCAACGTCTTTCCGAGAATAATCAGACGCCATTCAAAGGACTGTCCATACTGGTGTCTTGGCGGCAACATACCACTAACACCAGCCAAGTAATTACACACTACGGAGTCATGCTAAACAGACGTTTAGAAGTAAGAATGCGTATAATGGAAAAACATTTCCGGAAGACCTATGGCGGCGGCGTTTGCCAGTGCGTGCCCAAAACAGCAAAATGTAAACCGTGAAAGCCCGCCATGACATGCGTGTAACGAAACGGAACGGAACGGATTCTGCACAGAACACCAGCATCCACGAAACGTTCATGGACACACGAAAAGTCATATAACAGTAGCTATTAAAGAGGCTTCGTGCTAAAGAAGGAAGAATCCGGCTTAGAAGAGACTGAAGAAGTTTGCTGCAGGGCCCGCCGTGTTTACAGCAAAATGTTGGGCCATATCAATGGTTATTTGCGGATTGCACTTCGTGAGGATCTGAGGCATTGCCATTCTAAAGTAGTTTCATTGATGCAGAAATAGTTGCTAACAACTAAGAAATAGCTAAAAAATGAAAAACTTGCTAAAAGAAGATAAAAAACTAGCTAAACACCTTTTCATCAGATTCTAACAGCATTCTTTGCTGTTGTATGAGCATGTAATTAGCGTTAAAAAACCTTTGATTCTCGCCGTGTAATGTGGCGTTCCTAGGCTCTGAATGTGTCTAATTAAGTAAACAGCCTCCTTTCAACCGGAAGATGCTCCAATTATCCTTTCCCACCGCTACTTTACCCATTTACCCTTTTACCATTTACCCCTTTACCCCTTAATCGTAGCCCCTTTAAAGGGTGACAGGAACTTCTCGTCCGGTGGGAAGGCTCCGTGACGTTTATCGACTGCCTTCATGTCAAGATTCTGAGTGTGCGCAGTGCAATGCACCATACCAGTGCAGTTTTCGGCATCCCTCCATAGGAGCTACACTTGAGTAAATGAACGAAATGCGTTGAATTAGCCGATGGTAACCAAGCCGTAGGGTCTGGCGGAAACAGGCCGCCTTTCCCTCCAACGCTACTCCTCCACCATGACGCCACGCGGCAGGCGCGCCGTTGCTCTATCGGGGCTCAACGCTTCTCCATCACTGTGTCACCCGCAGCGGCCACGTCATTGGCATAATTGCGTTCCCCACCCACCGATCATTGCTCAGACAAGTTACCTTTATCAAACGCGTGCTCTGTTCACTAAAAGGCGTTCAGGAAAGCCACCTCCATAATGCGGCACCTCTGGGTTTTGCAGACGATAATGGGGCGCACGAGTTATAAATCGTTTACGCGATGGCAAAGATAAGCCTCGTAACAGGCCAGGTATTGCGCGCTACAGCTATAGCGACTGATGGCAGCTGCACATGGATATACGAACATAACGAGACCAGAGCATGATTTACATTAGCTTGATGATGGCTGGGGTTTGCGTGTGCGAAGGCTGCCGGATTTGCAACCACGACGAATTTTAGGGCAAAAAAAAACGAAGCAGTGATCACGTGAGATCAATCAAAAACGCATTTATTAAGTACGCAGCACTACCATCAAACACACGAACCCAATCAGCAAATTTATGCAGTCCAACCATTCCTCTCTTGGCACCGGTGACTGCACCATCTATCGACACCCCCAACCAGTCTCGGGATCGATCCCCCGAAGGCGGGGAGTTCAAACACCGGAAGGTGGGACCACGTACGTCACCAAAATATCCGAGCCGGGCGGATTGGAAGGCAATTTATGAGCTACGCCCGGCTCATCTCTGGGTGGGCTCGAACCTAGACGACCGATGGACCCCGCCCTGGTGGTGGTAAATGACGTGAACTTGCGTTGCCCACGGACGGAACACTTGCGGCTGGGAATCCGCAGCTGAGTCAAATCAGGCACGCCCGCCATTTGCCAGCGGAGACGGCTCCGGTGTCAAGTTGGCAGCGATTCGATTTTGGTTGAATTTTATTTATGACGGCAATCTTGGGCAGACAGGCAGGCGCAGTTACTGCAGACGTCGTCGATATAAAACCAATAATGACGGCGCCACGTCATCAACAACCTCAGCTAAAGCCCACAGTTGTGGACGACCTATGGACGCGAGCCCACGGGTCAGCGAGCACTCGTCACCTTTTCCTGCCTGCACACCGTGGAATGTTCGCCGCTCAGTCTTCCAGAAAACGCAGTAGTATCTGCTCAGCTTGAACCCCTCATAACGTTCATTTCAGCGCCTGGGGCGCTTGGGAACTAACTTTCTTTTTACCGTCCTTATCTAAGAGGCTGGGGCTTCAAGAGCGGCCATATCGCAGAACGCGTTACAAAAGGTTAGTTTGAGCATCCATACGCATGACTCCCCACACCCTAACGATGAAGCTTTTCTATCCTGCTCTTGGCTCGGCAGGCTTTTACGAACGATTTCCCGGACCTTTTCGCTTGTTAGACGAGCCCAGCAGCATCTGCTTTGGGCGCACAACTGCATCTACATTACGACGTGGGTTAAAATGACACGCATGCAATGCATAAAAATCCAATGTACATTATAGCACTTCAAGTCACAAAGACAACACCAAACACCGACGCCACTATTGTGAAGGACAGTCGTGCGCAGCTTCAAGTGGCAAAGAAGCTTGGAGGGACTCACCAGGCCGTAACGATGGCTCAGCTAGAGGGCAGAACGCACACAATGACCTGTCGCCGGCCGCACAGAGGCCCGTACTAGACATCCACGGCTATGTACATGGCGGGTGAGGGTGTTGGGTGAACACATCACGCGATCAGTCTAGCCTAGACCTCTAGCTGGTACAGGGTGCAGCGATGCTATAACCCCACGTCCCCTCGACCGACAGACGTGCAACCAAAGGAAAACAACAGCACCGCCGTTTTGACCCCTCCCCTGCCCGCCTCCCCTTCCATATCGATTCACCGTGGAACCAGTTCCCCAGCGGGTAGGGGAGGCCGCTTCACACCTTGCCCGACCACCCACCAGTCATAGCTGTGAGTCTCTCCGTTACGAACCGCCACTCAGCGTCCTTGACGGCGCGCAACGGCAATGGTGTGCCCTTCCCGGACGGCGCCACCACCGGCAGCAGCGGCGCCCCCTTCCCGGACGGCGTCACCACCAGCAGCAGCGGTGTCCCCATCCCGGACAGCGCCACTACCGGCAGCAGCGGCGTGCCCTTCCCGGACGGCGCCACTACCGGCAGCAGCGGTGTCCCCTTCCCGGTCGGCGCCACCACCGGCAGCAGCAGCGTCTCCTTCCCGGACGGCTCCGCCACCGGCAGCAGCGGCGTGCCCTTCCCGGACGGCGCCACCACCGGCAGCAGCGGCTTCCCCTTCCCGGACGGCTCCACCACCGGCAGCAGCAGCGTCTCCTTCCCGGACGACTCCACCACCGGCAGCAGCGGCGTCCACTTCCCAGACTGCGCCACTACCGGCAGCAGCAGCGTCTCCTTCCCGGACGACTCCACCACTGGCAGCAACGGCGTTCCCTTCCCGGACGGCGCCACTACCGGCAGCAGCAGCGTCTCCTTCCCGGATGGCTCCACCACCGGCAGCATCGACGTCCCATTCCCGGACGGCGCCACCACCGGCAGCAGCGGCGTCCCCTTCCCGGACGGCGACACTACCGGCAGCAGCAGCGTCTCCTTCCCGGACGGCGCCACCACCGACAGCAGCCATGCGCCACTCAATCCGATGATCCCGCGCGACCCCTCCTGCTCGGTCCCTCCAGACCCCCAGCGCCAGGCGAAGACCCGACCCGACCCACTTATCGACTCTGGCGGTCCCTGGCGCCGCGCTAACTCACCGTGGCCGGCGACAGGTTGAACATGGAGTTCCGGCGCTCGTTGGAGCACGTGCTCGAGTGGCGTCGGATGGGCAGCAAGCCCACGCGCAGGTCGCTCGTGGACGAGCCGCACGAGTACGAGCCGACGCGGATCTTGGGCGGGTTCAGCAGCTCGTTGTCGGACAGCCTCCGCCCGATCAGCGCCGAGTGCACCCGCAGGCGGTTGCTGTCCGGTGAAGATGGACCTGTGGGACGCCAGCAGCGTGATCAGACAACGCCGGCTGTCCCCATGCCTCAACAGGGCCTGTGGTGGGGTAAACAGACAAACGGCCCAGGTAGTGGAAAAGAGAAGCACCTCAGCTGCAAACCGATGGAGCAACCGCTCGTCTTCTTTTTGACAGTGCAGCGCATAACAATAATGATAAGGCCACTCGCCGGCCAAGGTATCAGGTTTGATTAAGTATATTAATGATGCATACGCCACCACAAACATTTTTAGCCGCTTACCTTGGTCAGCGCACGCAGGTTATATGAATGCTAGTCGCAAGCAACAACTACCCTGACCGCCGTCATCGCTGACGACACACACGCCACCGACCACAGCACCTATCACGCGACACCCGCCACCGGCCCCGACACTCACAGAAGCCTGTGGGGCGCAAAGTGGCCGCTGCCGTCGGACGTGCCCCTGAGCTCAACTGACCAACTAACTCACAAGAGCCGGCCGAGCCGGAGCTCTTGCGGCTGCAGTCCTCGGCGCTATTGGTCTTGCGCCGGTGCTCCACGCGCAGGTTGGGGATGTGGAAGGCAGGCGGGGAGGCGGCCATGTAGTCGGACGAGTTGTGGTGACGCAGCGACACCGCCGACGGCCGCCGGTGCTCCGGCGACGCCAGCACCAGATCGTCCAGCTTCAGCTTGTTCCGCTGGTTCCTGACGGCAGGAGCAGGGTGTCAGTTGTCCCCGGGCTGCTCGCCACTAGGAAGCTCCCTGATGTCGGGCTGGGGAAGACGTCTGGAGGTGTGTTTAAGGTTGTCGCCGGGATCGCTCACTACTGAGGAGTTCCCCAGTGTCGGGCTGGGGAAGACGTCTGGAGATTGTTTAAGGTTGTCGCCGGGTCTGTTCACTCCTGGAGAACTACCCGGTGCCGGGCTGGGGAAGACGTCTGGAGATGTCTTTAGGGTCATCGCCGGGTCTGCTCACTCCTGGAGAACTACCCGGTGCCGGGCTGGGGAAGACGTCTGGAGATGTCTTTAGGGTCATCGCCGGGTCTGCTCACTCCTGGAGAACTACCCGGTGTCGGGCTGGGGAAAACGTCTGAAGATGTGTTTAGGGTCATCGCCGGGTCTGCTCACTCCTGGAGAACTACCCGGTGTCGGGCTGGGGAAAACGTCTGGAGATGTGTTTAGGGTCATCGCCGGGTCTGCTCACTCCTGGAGAACTCCCCGGTGTCGGGCTGGGCAAGGCGTCTGGAGATGTCCTTAGGGTTGTCGCCGGGATCGCTCACCCCTGAGGAGCTCCCTGGTATCGAGCTGGGGAAGACGTCACACCGGAATTTATGTCAGAGAGCCCCAAGATTTGGAATTGGAGTGGAATTGTGGACTCTGGCCTAACAAAATGTTCTCCACTTTTTTGGAGGGAGTTGACAATTTTAATAACGAAGACAAAGTTTTATTTTAACCAAACAGGTGGACAAAATCTAAAAGTTTTGCAAAGCCTCTTTCCGCTGATCTCGCGGAAACGCTTTGGCATTTGGTGCTACCATATTCGCCATTATGTTACCACCAAAACTGATGTCATATTTGGAAGCATCACCTTTGTCTCAATGGTCTCGTGTTGAAGGAAAAACTTAAAAGAACTATCACCAGGGAAATGGTCAATGCCTGGCATACAGAATGAGACCAGCTGAATCCGAAGGTGTCAAAACATACAGCGTACTTAACGTGTAACCTTTATTTTTGCTCGGCTCAAATCTTCACGTCAGAATTTTAATATGACAAGTATAACTTGGCCAACAAAATTTTGAAATAAACCAGTTCATTACGAGATACTGAAGATTGTAGCACTCGCGCCGACATCACATTATTGAGGAGAAAAACTGCGGAGCTCTGCGCAACAAGCTATCTCTGGCCGTAATGAGGGATCAGCTGCAGCAAGAAGAGGCCGGCGGCTGACAACACCGAGCCGAGGCGAGCTGGTGCATGGTCTTCTCACGCTCGGCCGATGCTGAGAGGGAGGGGAACGACACCGCGCTCGCCGCGCCCCGGCCGATGGAGGCGGCCGGGTCACGGCGGCGCACGCGGGCCCAATCAGCGGGGATGTCCGTGGCCAATTACGGCCAGCCGGCCGGCCGGCGGCAGGAGCGGCCGGCGCACGGGCCCGTGCCGAGCACGCCGCCGGCCGGGCCAGTCGAGCGCCCACATTAGCGGCCCCATCAGCTGGACGTCACTCGCGCGAAATAGACCCGGCTGACGGCGCCGACCGGGCTGCCAAATCGGGCGTGGCCGGCGCCGGAGGTCGGGTCGGCGGACCGAAGCAGGTGCGCCTGTCCGCTCGTCGAGACGTGTTCGTCGGGAGGGGGGACGGGACTGAACAAGCTTGGGAGGGGCGCCGAGCACCCGTGACACTTCGGTCCGGTTCACAGGGCGTTGGATGGAGGTGCTCGGGAGCAGACGACACGTGTGCTGGCGTTGCAGTAGGCTGGAAAGTCAGGAAAACGCCAATTCCATAAATTGATGAGTCAAAGCTTTAGAAACATTAGATTGAGTAACCGTGCGTTCGGGAAAGCATTACGCGACCGGGTCCTAGAGAAAACGACATGTTTCCCACATTATTTGCGTGGTGACTTCATCTCAGCTTTCTCCAGAATTTGGGGCGCCCGTGCCAATTTAGCCGAAGGCCCTGGTTTCACCGTCACCTTGCCAGTCTTATGGGGCGGAATCCTGGGTCTCACCCACTTTCTGAAAATTCAAATTGGGCTCTGTGAGCGATGACCGGAAAGAACTAACCAAAACTTGATGTCGACCACAACAGATAGGAGAACTTCCGGCACGCCATAGAGCCCATCTCTCGACCAGCTCCCACCAACAGATGGCAGCAAGTGCGGAGTGTTCGTCCCGTGGCGGCATTAGCCCCTAGCCTATCAGCGCCCACGATCGTGGGTGTACAGACACGGTCTGCCTTTAAATAGTCCGTCCGGTCCGGTGGTCCGTCTCGACGGCACGGTCTCGCTCTGGATCACCAGAATAGTCTGTTCACCCGGTCTGAGAAATCGGAGAATGCGCTGCGGCGGGCAACTCGACAGCAGGCGTGGGGTCAAGACTCATGGAAATGAAACCTCTGGCGTTTAGTGTTGTGCGTGTCACCCAGTCCGCCTCCCACCCCCCCCTCTCCCGTTGACCGGCCAAAAAGTCGAATGAAAAAAATTTCGACGAGGATAAATGCTGACTGAGATCAAAGTCGAGCAGGAAAAAACGAAGAACAAAAATTAAAAAAAGGATAAAGGTCGACAGGGATAAAAGTCAAGTCGTAAAAAGTCGAACGAAAAACAGTCGACAGGGTTATGAGTCGACAGAGATGCAAATCTCATTGGAAAAGTCTGAAAGAAAAAGTGCAAAAAGGTCGGCAGGGATAAAAGGGGAACTGTGGAAAATTGGAACTGAAAAAGCTGCAGGATTAAAACTCAACAGGGCTTAAAAGCGACAGGCATAAGTAAATAAATGTAAAAAAAGACAACAAAAGACGCCGTAAGGAAAAAGCCGGCAGAAAATCCGTGAGGTACTTCTGGATGTTTATGTTAGCATAATTGTTATGACAGGCGCAGCTGAAACGGAAGCACTGACAAGATAATGTATTTTCGCTTTGTGACGTCATTTCGCTGAACCTCCTGCCATCTTAAAGTTCGACGACTCGGCATAGGAAGACAGTGCTCATAATGTCGAATCACATCTTTCTATTCAGTTGGAGGGAAAGAGGACTTGAGTATCCCAGCTTCGAGAAAACAGGGGGTCGAATCCCCGGAGACATCCACTCATTGACGCTTTGAATTTAGCTCGGGGCTAAAGCCATTGGCTTACGGTCCTCCTTGCTGATATCAAGCGCCATACTTTTGTGTCCAGACCGGGTCCCTACAATGTGTGTGTTTTTATTTCTTAACGCACACACAGGCTCACTGCCGACCTCAGCCACCGTCCGCTGTTGTGGGGCCGCCCTGCGTAAGCCACTCCTCTCCCTCTCCCCGACGTAAAGCACTGGGGACACCGGAGCCGCGCCACGCTGTGCAGCCACGAGAGCCAGGTGATGCTGCTTAACAGCTGAAACCTTTAATTTAGCACCGTATTTGGTCTTTAAAATAGCACCTTTCGCCAAGGGCTACCTTAGCATTGGTCTGATCAAATCCCATCTTGCCCCGTCCGATAGCCTCGTGGTTCGTCCATTGCCGTCTGATCTCGTCCTGTGCCGTCCGTCTCCGTCCGATTTTTTCTGGTTCCGGTTGGTCCCGTCTGCTGCCGTTCTTCCCGTCCGGTTCTTTTCGGTCACGTCCGGTCACGCCAACGCTGTCTGATCGCGTCCCGTCACACGTGGTTCCGTCTGGTGCCGTCCGGTCCCGTCCCATCTGGTCCCTTTGTCTCATCCGGTTCCATCCGATCCAGTCCCATTCCCCCGCCTGGAGCCGTCCGGTTCGCCATGGTCCCGTCCCATCTGGTCCCTCTGGTCTCATCCGGTTCCATCCGATCCAGTCCCTTTCCCCCGTCTGGAGCCGTCCGGTTCGCCATGGTCCCGTCCTATCTGGTCCCTCTGGTCTCATCCGGTTCCATCCGATCCAGTCCCACTCCCCCGTCTGGAGCCGTCCAGTTCGCCATGGTCCCGTCCCATCTTGTCCCTCTGGTCTCGTCCGGTTCCACTCGATCCAGTCCCATTTCGTCTGCTCTCGCCTGGTCTCAACCGGCGTGAGCTGGTTCCGCACGGTCATGCCCAGTCCCGACCCGTCCCTCTATTTTCATCCCATGCTATTGGTCTCTCCCCGTGGCCACAGCTTTGTCCACCTCATACCAAGCGCCAGTTCTGACGACTTTTATGTTTGAATCATTCTGACAACTGGCGTTTTACATATTCAAGCTGGCTTTTGCCCTTGTCGATGTTCGGTCTTTCATTTCTACTCTGATCGCTGTCGGTTTTATCTTTGACTTTCCTACAATTCGACTTTTGTCCCTGTCGGTCTTTTGCCTCTCGACTTGTTCCGATTCGACCGTTATTCCTGTCGGCTTTTACCCTTTTTGAGCATTTGTCCTTTAGCCTTTTCCTTTGTCACTTTTGCCCTTGGGACCTTTTATTTCAGTTGACTTTTCGTTGCTCAGGTGTTTTTGTTCGATATTTTCATTCGACTTCTCCATCCGATTTTTTTGTTCCGGAACAGCCCCTTCTCCCTCCTATCCATCCTTTCCCGACGAGAATTAGCGAAGGGTAAGAAATGTACCAGTGGTGTTGTGCTTACGCTAACCGCCTGTGAAGCCAGAGGTACGGGGTTCGATTCCCCGCGGCGCCCGCCCTGCCTGTCGGGGTGAGAGGCAGGTTGCGCCATATAGCCTGAACAGCTGAGTGCGTCCTAAAGCCCTAACGACATACAAGTGGCGGTAAAAAGGGCACTCTGCCCCCATACCAGAAGCAAAGCGTCTCCATTACTAGGCAATACGGTCACTTCCCTCGGCCGGGTCCGAGCAATTTATCATGCTCATTCATTCTAAATTCATCGCGAGGTCATTAGAATTGGTTTTGTGTTATTTGACCTTTTGTGCTCGTTGCAGTTCACTGACAAATAACAAATTCAACGACATTAGGGCAGGCATAAGCCTAAAATCCAAAGATGAACCCCAGAATCCATTCCAAACACAGCTAGCTCTAGCATGCTCTAAAATCGACGATTTTCGTCCGGAATTTCGCCAAGATGCCTGGTGTGAAATGACAGGCTGGTGCACCAATTGAACTTGACTAGAGCGGAATATCTCCAGGTGTTTTACTCATGATCGAGGGGAGGGGGGGGGGGGGGGGGGAATCACCATGTCACTTCTTCATCAGAAAAATTAGCTTACCACCTTGCGCTTGCACCTTTATTGCCTTTGCCTTGCCTTTGCACCTCTGTTTGTTAGCTACTCTAACCTCACCGCAACGTTTTTACATTCCTCTACTCTCGCAAACAGACAATGTGTAAGACGCACCACGCATATTCTCCCATATTTCTTGAGAAAAAAAAAACAGTCTGGTCCGAAGCACATGTCTTGATCCCAGCACTAGTGCAGGATTCGACTTCAACGCCGATGCAAATAAGCCACATCTCTCTACATCTGTTGAGTGTTTGTATTGTGACTTTGTAGGGTTGAGTTATCCGGTGCCGGCGCTGTCTTGTCCCGCGAGTTGGCCTCGGCGCGACCAGAGCAGGCCTCTGATTGGTTACAACCCAACCTTCACGCGGAAACGTGGAGCGTGATGATTGGTCGAGCCGGAAGAGCTCAGCGCAGCATGACCTGTGGCGAGGTCGGCCCGCGCGGGATCAGGGTCGGGAGCGTGTGCCGATTCAGGAGACTGGTATGTGGTTCTTTGATAACAGAGTGAAATGTGAGCCCCGAGTAGTTGTGAACCCTGCATGTGATGTGAGTTGAGACTCGCGACAAAATGAATACTCAACACTCCATCAAGTACCTTTCAGCTTTAATATGGTGATGGATGGGTGCGGTGTGGGGGCGTATTACCTGAGGTGGTCGTTTTCTCGCTCACTGTAGTGTATTTCCTCCCATGGTCGGAAACGTCAATAAAACTGACGCTGCATAGTTCTCCGCGGAAATTCGGAATGCTCGAGCAAGTCCTGAAGCAGGTTGAGAGCACAACAGATGAACTATTATACACCGCCGGGAAGTTTCAGAACATGCTCCCTGCATACGTCACAAGCGCGTGCTTTATGAGGCGATAAGGACCATTTCGGGGCATGTGGCAAGTTTCACGATAAAACGGCCCTGGCAGCGGGTAAACAAACCGCGCCAGCGGGCAGCATATCGACAGCATGAGGGACTGGCGCGTGCCATTCTTTTATGCATGGCTCCCCACTTAGTCACAGCTATGCCTGTGTACCGAAATCGACAGGGTGCTTGATACGCGCTTACCGTCCCATGCCACATCGGGACAATGGAAGGCACGGCGACCGAGTCGCTGCATTTCACGTTGGGGTAATTTGTCGCTGACTGAATGGTCCGGGTGGCATTTCAGGAATTGCGTGAGCCCACTTATCAAAATGAAATGCAGCGCTGGATTTGTGTAGCCCAGGGCCAAACATTGCTGTGAACTGCTAGTCCGAGAATGCACAACGGTCGACGCGTCGGCTTTATTGCTAATCACTTACGGCAGCGAATCGCCACAAGCGGGTGAGTTATGTTCCAAGGCCTTTGTAATAGATCATGAACGGCGCAAGGGATGCCTCTATTAAGACCCCGTTGTGTGTCCACTTTCATGACATCGACGTGCGCCTGCTAATTCATGCACTACGGCCAAAAGTAAATCGTTTCTCGCAATAAAATGTCTGGTTTTGAGTCGTCATTTAACGTGAACTACCCAAAGAACTGCACATAAAATAAGTTTGGACATATTTTGGAATGGTTTAGGTTTCTTTTGGACGATGTCGAACATCCACGATCATTAAGGAGATATTTTGCATTGGAAGAGAAATCAACCCAGGAGAAACAACGGAAACTATGAAAGGGACATGTTTGTGCTTTCGCGACAGGTCTTTTGATCAGAATAACACCACTGAATCCGGAGGAAATGTCCTTTGTTCCTCTGTGACATCTGGTTTCGACGGCCTTCCAGAATGAATGCACGAATCCTAACATAATCGCAGACTATTAGCAAAAATTTACTGGAGATAAGAGCCGAAAAACACAATCCGTCCCTGCCAGCGGCGGAAACAATGCCACTACTCGTCTGCTTTTTTACAATTTCCGCCGTACCAAACTTTATTTTCCAGATGTTGCTGGCACTTCCAGCTAATACGAGGTTAATTAAAAGCCTAAATTATCACACGGACCTGCGATGAAGTCGGCCGAAAACAGTTCACATCAGACAGCAGGCCGGATATTGGCTTTCGGCAACATCGGCAGTGGTGCTCGCCGCGCAAAGCCAAATATGTGCGGCTGAGCCGGCAGCTTTCACACGCCAAACAGCCGCTCCTGGCACTCGGCACTCAATGACGGGAGTGCAGCCAGTCTTAGCAAGGGAGAGAGAGGCATAGTGTCGGCAAAAATCCGCCTAATGGTGAAGGCCCCCTTCCGAAGGAAGGCTTATGGATCGGCTTATTTGCGGCACTGAGTTCTTTATTCGATTACTATTTTTACTTTTTTAACTTGAACAGAAGCCAGAAGTCCAGTAAAACGCAATAACGTTTATATTTGATTGTCAATGAACTGAAAAACTGGACAGTAAATGAATGCACGAAATAAACCACCGGCACTTCTCGTTTCTGAATGGCTAAGTAAAGTATTTATGAACCGATAATACACTGAGGAGCTTTGCCATAATTTTTCGGCGTTCTGTGGAGACATTTGAGGACCCATACAAATCGGATATTGTGGATCAAGGTGGACTAAATTTTGTATCGGCAAGGCCAACACATTTGAGGATTTTCAAACCTCATTCAGAATTGAGCAGTGCAAAACTTACATAAGATTGCTATGAACATGAGCGCTCGCAAGCCTTCGAAGCAGAACCCCGACGCCCAGCGTTGCAGTCTCCGTGGGTAGCACATCGTTGGGTTTGTTGCCAGCGCTAGGGCGGTGGCCAACAGCTGAACGAAAACGATGACATGTTGCAAAAGTACCTCTGAATGCTCTAGCACATTCGTAAATACGTTTGAAAGGTATTCCGAGAGCATATTTCAACTGCGCGGTCTTTAGATTGATAATAGGAAGGGACTAGCATTTGTAGCGTCGCGAGCTGGCACTCAAATCTGGTGGTAGACCAGAAAAAAGTCGATTATTTTCTCGTGCTGCTGTACTGGCAATATGTTAAGAGATCATCCTCGAATTTATGCAGGTAAAATATACGCTTCATCTAATCTGTCTAATCTGTGAACGGTACGAATTATTTTGAGAGGTTTTCTAGAGCACCGTCTCACGACGGCCGTCCTCGCGCGCCCACCGCCGCCGCCCACTGCCAGCTGCGGAGGCCGGCACCGCTCGGTTTGACGAAGCTGCGGCCCCGGCCGTCAGTGGTCTTGGCGCTAAGGCTGCAAGCGAGCAGGTTCAACATTTTTTTTTTTTATGGAACTGGTTTCACTTGTCGATTCTGGAAGAGGGTGGACGTCCTTAGGCAAACAAGGGTTGGTTTTTCATTTTTGACATCATTTTGATCCGCCTTTTTGAACGCTAAGGAAATCCCTTATCTTTCCGGCAAAGGGGCTCGTGGGGCACTAGAGTGCACGTTATCTTCCCCCGTCGGGGCTGAAGGCCATTTCGTCCCAGCGCAGGTCCTACTGACTATAATTCTGGCGACGCGAGAACGGATAAACTGGCCATCAGGAACCCGTTAGAGGGATACATCATGCATTGCCCCCCCCCCCCCTCCCGCCCCACACACACACGAGGCCCGCTGACACAGCTGGCTCCGAATCGACGCAGGGGCCTTCATTGGCGCAAACAGATCCTTATCGCCGTAAGGGGTCCAATAATTGGCAAAGATACACCAATTTGGCTCGACGGCCCCATTGCTGAAATGGGGTGGAGAGCCGCCGTTCGTTACTGGGGCCGTTGACCGCCACAGGGCCATTCCAATGTTTCAGTGTGGCCTCGCATCGCAGATTTCCATATCTCCTTTCATTGCCGGAGGACTCGGCTAACGCAAGGGGCTCTCTGGCATTCGGGGTCTCGTTCATGTCCCTGCCCAGCAAATTTTCCACTGGTCAACTCAGCGCTCCTCGCATACATAGGAAACACTGTTACGCACTATGGGCCCTAAACGATACAGGCACTCCCCTCCCCCCCACCCCCCCGCTGCCTCCAGGGTCATGGCCAATGCAAATATCGGCCGCCGACCTTGACTGGTTGGAAAATGGACCTCTAGGGCTCAGACCTAAGACCTAAGACCTCTGTACTCCTGTTCAGCCCTCCTCGAACACTCTTCCTGGCTGACTCGGGGCCCCTTGCCAACACAGGACTCTTTAACAAGCACTCTAGGTCCCTGGTCGGCGCAAGGGCCTTTATAGACGAAAGGGCCCCGACCAACTTAAACTGCAGGCTCCTTCTCTGACCCTGATTGCGAAATGGGACCTCAGGCCCAGACCGACACTGAGCTGACTGTTCGATGCCGGTGGTTTCTGACCGCAATAAAAGCAGTTATCGACTCAGTGGGCCCCCGATCGGTGCAAGAGGGACGTTCAATAGACATTTGAGTGCCCCTCGTTACGGCCTCCGCCCAGCACTTCGGTCCACCAAATCGAGCCCTTGATCGTCAGTCCCGAGAGATGTACACCCCATGCGGGTGTACGTCAGTACAACTGCACCGCAGTGTGATGGCTGGCTGGAACACACGGCTTAGGCAGAACATTGCTATTTTGCTGAGAAAGAGCACAGAGGGTACGCTAAGTGGAACGCGATTTTGAACAATCCCGAATAAAGTTGGCAAAAGCACGCCAGCAACATTTGAAAACTCAAACGTACCGCAAAGTTGGTCAGGGCACGAAGGATGGCTACCTCGCATCAAAGCGAGATGCTGCGGTTCAAAGCTGCGAGCAATTCGTCAGACAGCACGATCACAGTGCTGATGCAGCTAGTGGTCGATGCGCCGGCTGTGATGATGACGCTTACCGGTCGATGGTATCCAGCATCTCTTGCAGCAGCTCCAGCAGGCTGGTGAACTGGTCTAGGTGCAGCGCAGCGTTCAGCGTCAGAGGCAGCAGCGACGGCATCACTCGCGTGGCCATCAGGTTGACGCTCAAGCCGTACTTCTTGCTATCAGTCAGCATCACTCTGTAGATATCTGCGGCGGAAGCGGGCATGACAGTCATGCTACTGACTTGGTTTCGGTGCTCTCTTTTCTTGTTTTGACGCGTCACGAATGCACACATTTCCAAGCCAAACATCCTCCCTCCTTTACCTCCCTCCATCCCTCCTCCTCCTCTCCTTCACCTCCCGCATTCGACCTCCTCTCCTTCACCTCTCTCAGCCCGCTCCTCTCTCTCAGCCCCCTCCTCTACCTCACCTCCCTCAGCCTCCTCCTCTCCTCCACCTCCCTCAGCCCTCTCCTCTCCCTCACCTCCCTCAATCCCTCCTTTCCTTCACCTCCCTCAGCCCCCTCCTCTCCTTCACCTCTTTCAATCCCCTCCTCTCCTTCGCCTCCCTCAGCCACCTCCTCTCCTTCACCTCCCTCAGCCCGCTCCTCTCCCTCAGCCCCTCCTCTCCTCTCAATGGCCCGTTCGCCCGCATGCTTGTGAAACCGTAACATAGATACGCACTGCTGCCTTCATCAGACGGAGCGCGAACTTCACATTAAAAGACCGCCAAGAAAAGCGATTGGACATTTCAGAGAAGTGTCACAGGCAGTGATGGCTGAAATTGACTGGGTAGTTTACAAACTCCGCATTAGTTGCAAAACGCTGACCTAAGGTCGTGCTAGCGCCCATAGCCGAACCGTTTTAAACATGCAGCAAGACTCTTTAGGAACAGCTGACCTGCAGCCAAAAGTGGAGGAAAATGCAGTATGTCCGACTTACTGACTGTTGCCTGTATCACATCAGGATCCTGCAGCTTGTTGTCCCACAGCAGAGGCAGCAGTTCCTCCAGGATCATGCGTCGCTCCAGCTTGTCCATCACCCTTTCCACTGCCATCAGCATGTACAACGTGATCTGTGAGAAGGAAATACATGACAGAACGATAAGTTCCCACGATGTGGCCAAAAGCTCATCATGTATCAGTCATGATGCTGGCCGAAAACTAATATATAGTTATCTTTACACAAGCCTTTTAAGGTTCGTCTCCTTCACCTGACATTGAATGGAATATTTGGCTACCCTCCAGCTCATGAGGGGGAGGGGCGTATCTTGACCCCGTCACTAACAGAAACCAAGGGACGCTCACATCGATCCACACTGTCATCGATAGCACAAGGACTTATCACCCAGACAGCGCGTTGTTTGGTGACCTGAGGATCCTTGTCGGTACCGGATACCAGGACGGACAGAAGTATTTCCCTCATTTTAAATGGCTCAATGTTTATGGACAACAGTCTAGTTACGTAAGTCTCGGCAAGATCGATGGCTGTGTTACACAAGTCATGCACGAGGCTGAACTCTGGCCTCTGGGGCCCTGTGCAGGAAATAAGTTGAGTCGTTCCATCGACCAACAGGTTGTGCCATCGACACATGGCTGGTGTTTGACACCGTCTGAGAACACCAGATATCGGCATTGTTTGCAAACCGCACACTGCAAACTGACCTGGAGGGTGCATGCGACATCTCGGAAGAAAGTTCCCACAACCATGAAATTCTCGGCTAGTAGATGTCAAATGCTTTTCGGTATGTATGCCATATGTTCTTACCCGCTACTCAATATGTCATTCATATTGGCCTAGTTATGCCATGAGAAGCCCTAAAACACGCACATGTAAGCCGATCGCTGCAGTTTTCAACAATATACAGTAAAACAGATGCGTCGCACTCACCCCAACGCACGTGCACGTTGCGATCTTATACACTTAAATATATACTAAATACTAATACACTTAAAGGTAGAGTGAACTACTGAGCGTCAGTTGAGTGACTTAAGATTGCCGTCCGTCACATAAATTTGGAATAAATCATCATGAAACTACTTGCACGTGATAAAAATCATCCCCATTATGTCCTAGTCGTACTAAAAATTACCAGTTATGCGTGACCATGCATCGCGAATCTGAGTAGAGCAGGTAGGCCGCGTAAAAAATGAAAACTTCTTGTGATTCCATTCATTCTGGGTATACTGTATCATACTGAAGGATCGTCAACACTGTGAGGCAAAGCAAAATGTGCGTCCGTATAAATCAATGAATATCAGTGGATATCACTGCTGCCGTCGGCAACATCATTTAAATAAGGCACGGTATCAAACAAATACAACATTTGTTTCCACTTACGCTAGTTCGCTGAACACAAGCACTTATCAGGCTAACTTAGTAAAAAGTTGGACTTGTTGGACGGGCAAGTAATTTTGCCACGATTTTACCTTAGATTGTAACCCTGCATATCTAGTACTTAGCATAGAATAACAGCTCTCCTGCAGCGTGAGTCATTCTCAGCACATTACAATTCCACATTGGATGGAAAACGAAGAAAATTACTGACCTATGCTAACCTAGCATCCAGCCAAAATTAATTAATGTGGTGTGTGCACATTTCACCCGGTGCCATTTTCTATGGTCAACGGGTAAGGCGTGCATGCCCACTGCGATGGGCGATGGCTCGTCACGACGGACATGGCGTATGAAGACTTAGTCCCTGTCGGCGTCGCGGGGGGGGGGGGGGGCGGCGGCGACCGTTGGGTATTGCCGAGATACCTAACCGTCCTAATTTGCAAGACGCCTAATCATCGGCGTCCGCCCCACAGTCCGGCAGGATGCGCTGATAGTTACCTGCACACTCCTGGACATCCTTTTCGCGACTTTTGCTCAAAGCAATTGGTCGCGTTGAGCCAGGGCATATAGCTTTTACGTCATAAAGGGAACCTGCTACGAACATTTTTGAGCCGAACTGTCGATTACCATATCATGGCATGACATTGCTCACCAAGGACTGCACCTTTTTGGAGATTTACGCAACAGCACATATAAACTTACATTTTCACACTGCCTCTTAACCTTTCTCAAGTCATTCAATTTACTGACCTAGGTTGTCAGTAAAATTTTTTTACTGATCTAGTGACACTTTCCATGTTAATTGGAATTTGTTGAGACTCTGAATTCGAATACAGCGCCCATTCACGTACTAGGCAATATTCACATACTATAAGCATGTGTACATACTACAATATTCACATACTATGAGCATGTGTACATACTACAATATTCACATACTATAAGCATGTGTACATACTACAATATTCACATACTATAAGTATGTGAATATTCATTATAGTATGTGATATATTCATTCATTATAGTATATGCTATAAGTATGTGAATACTCACATACTTATATAAATATGCATCTCAGTTAGGTAACTTACGAACTGTAAGCTGCAGCACAGTTAATACAGACGCTTCGAGTTAGCAAAGCCAACGACTTACACACTGAGATAGTGATAATGTTTGCCATTCGACGCGGCTGAAACGATAGATCGTCCGCGTGCTTCGGAGCGCCTCGGCTGTTGAGGTCATGCCGCCGAACGCATGGATCATGTTCCTCAGCACGCGCGCCGACTCATGGGAATGGAAGACAAGATAGTGCAAGCACTAGGCGCACTGAGCCGGGAGACCACGCATAAATTTCCCTAATTTATTTGATTTTTCCATCAACGTTTCCCGCAAAATGACTGTATACAACGGTTCAACGTATATTCAGTTCAATTTTTTCAGTGTGGACCAGCATTTGGTCTGGGCCGACCGGTGGCTATGCTTCAAGTGCAGCTTGCTGTATCTCATTACGTTTGTAAAAAGCTTCGGACCATGCTTATGTCGATTAGAAGCATACATTAGGTCATAGATTAACAAGCGCTTCACGGAAAATTGCAAAAAAGTTAAGGATTTCTCCCAAATCTACCGTTTGACCTGACCTGATAAATCGCATTTGAGGGACACTGAAGAATGATCTGAGTGGAAGTAGTAGAAGACATGCCGATATACTTTTTATCTTCTCATTTTTTTTCGCTATCTGGTCATGCGTCCAAACACCACGGGAACGCCCCCCCCCCCCCCTGCACCGTCGAAAATCACAAAACCCTGTGTACAGGGGAGGATGACATGAAAAAATCTCCTTAAATGTCCACAACAGTGTTAATGCTGCTTTATTGAAATAACCTTCGATTGCCCGGTTAGTCAAATTTTTGTGACATAGGCCTCGTGCACATTCACGAGTATTGAAAAAGTATTATTGTTGTAACTTGCTCGAAAGGTTTGATAGAGAAACCAAAGGGGGTTGAACTATTCCAGTAACTCGCAAGATAAACAAATTAATTCCTAGAATTGCTAGTAGTTTTTATCGGCTGCTAGTACACGCCGGGGCGGCCGGTTGAATGCTCTTCGCCCGGTTGGGGATCAATTTGATCCCCCATATCTAAAAAAATCAAGAAAGCTAGAGACAATAAATTTACAGGGTTAGTTGTTCTCTATATTAAATCAGTCAAAGCATGAATTCCATGGGTCATGCCCTTCGAGTAAAAAACATCAAACAGGGTCCACCTCAAGGTTAGTGTCCAAAGTGCCGCAGACCTCTCCAAGCAACCGCCTTGAACCTTCATACCTGTTGTAAGGAAAAGGTCACTGATGTTGATTTCAAGTAAACAACCTTACTTGACATTGAACAAGTTATAGTGATCAAAACCTTAAGAGATTGCCTTGATTTTTTATTTAAATAGACATGAAGGATTACGCTAGGCGGTGCGTTCTAAAAAAATAAAAACAGCAGGTTAATCTTGGTCATTTAGGTCTTTGACATACTCCAACCTTTAATGATTCGATTAGGGACATCTGTTGTGGTCCCTGTTATCAATAAACTTGAAAGGAGCATTAGAAAGTATTCCCCAAAGTAAGCTGTCCAGTAAAAAATATTTGCTCTGACTTCGCTATCACCCTCAAACCTGACCTATCAGTGGAATTCGTTGCAATTCTAGTTTGGACCGCTTTATTACTTGATATGCTATTTTGGAGACATATGACTTCGTCTTATACTCCATGGTTAGATCAGATTTAACGGTTCCCTAGAAATTGCCTTCGCTGACATCCCTGAATTGACTTTGACCTACCATAATATGACCTACCAATAGGTCAGCGGCCTCGCAAGGTAGATCTACTTTGTTGTATTGATATACTTTGTTATTCGCTATTCAGCCGCGCCGTTCGGGAATTATTCTGTTAAAACTTCGGTGGGGGGTGGGGGGGGGGGGGGTCAACTTGATCCCCACCCGAGCGCTTGATGGCGATGGAGAAAGGACAGAAGACAACTGACCCCGAAAATTTGTGAGATTAATTTCAATGTTTCCCGTGTTCGTCAGGCACCGGAATCCCAGTCCGCGCCATGGGGTGCACTGTTGAGAACCTTTCCAGGTTTTCTAGGTTGGCAGCGGTACAAGTGAACGCAGACCCATGCACACCCCCGTCATTATCTTCCGTGCATACTTGCTGGATTGCAAGGGAAAAATAGGTCACTGACATGCGATAGGCTACATAAGGTAATGCACTAAAGCGCTTAAAGTGCTGATGTACTGAAAATGTGGCCCATGAAATCCAAAGCTGTGCCTTGATCAGACAGACCCAGCACATGCAACAACTCTCCTAAACTAATTTTCTGGCAACAAAACGAAATGTCTTTTTCTACTATGATCTCTGCTCGCCTATTAATTGGCATGCATGCAAAAGCAAGGCATGGTTTAAGCTCTGTACAAGAATGAATTTCCGACAACACTGTTCACTTTTGTTAGCATACAAAGTTCTCAAAGTCTGGCGTACGCCTTAAGTCTCAATAGTCTCCCCCCGCCCCCCCCCCCCCCCCCCTCCCCCGGACATAAAGTTTGTATTAGCCTTCCGGTCGCAAGCGAATATCCGACGTGTAACAAACGAGGGTGGCATTTGGCTGTAGCTATGCATGGTTTCCCAGACCGTAACGACGCTAGTGGGCGGCAGAGTTGTGGAGAGCCGAATGGCCGCTGTCATTCCCTC